GAAGCAAAGGCTGCTTTGTCTGAATTTGCATGCTGGAACCTATTTTTTACTGAGGAAATGTTGCAAAATATTCTGAAATGCACTAATGATCGCATCCGTCCTAAAATAGCATTGTGCAATAATTTGTCAAAATACACGCATGTAAAAGAATGCAATGTGGCAGAATTAAAAGCTTTTATTGGCCTTCTTTACCTTGCTGGCTTAAACCGCTCTGGTAGGCAAAACTTGAGTGACTTGTGGTCTACTGATGGCACTGGAGTAGAAATTTATGGACTAGTAATGTCTAAACAGCGTTTTCATTTCCTACAAAGCTGTTTAACGTTTGACGACCTTTCTACTCGCGACGAACGGAGACGACTTGATAACTTAGCACCAATTAGAGAACTGTTTGAAGCCTTTGTTGAAAACTGCAAAAATTCTTACGTGCCAAGTGACTGCCTAACAATAGACGAAATGCTGATAGCTTTCAGAGGTCGCTGTAAATTTCGTCAGTACATACCATCGAAGCCGGCCAAATATGGGCTAAAAATAATTGCTCTAGTAGATGCTCGAAACTTTTACATCAAAAACCTCGAAATATATGCGGGAAAGCAGCCTGATGGTCCATATTCTTTAAGTAATAAGCCATTTGATATAGTAGATCGAATTGTGCAGCCCATATCCAAGACAAAGCGTAACGTAACGTTTGACAATTGGTTTACAAGTTATGAACTTGTTCATCACTTACTTAGTGAACATAAATTAACGTCAGTTGGGACCCTACGTAAGAATAAAAAGGAAATTCCACCTGAATTTACGAAAACGCGCAAAGGCGTTTTTACCTCCCGATTTGCCTTTCAAAAGGACATCACTCTTGTGTCGCATATACCTAAAAAGAAGAAGGTAGTGTTGCTGATGTCAAGCCTTCATCATGACGACTGCATTGATAGTTCAACCGGCGAAAAGAAAAAACCAGAGATCAACACTTATTACAACAAAACAAAATGTGGAGTTGACGTCGCTGATGAGTTGAGCGCTACATATGACGTGTGTCGTAATTCAAAGAAGTGGCCGCTGACTATTTTTTATGCGGTGTTAAACATGGCAGCGATAAACGGACTCATTTTACACCGCATAAACAATGAATCAAACCAAAAACGACGCCGCTATTTGAAAAATCTAGGCCTTGCGCTTGTCAGTGACCACTTGAAAGACCGCCGCAACGTTCTAAGTTTGCCACGTGAACTTCGCAAAAAAATCTGCCAGTTTTCAGGCGAACCTGTGGAAGAGCCCCCGATAAAAAGAACTAATGCTCGCAAGAGGTGTCAACTATGTCCTGCAAGCAAAGATCGTAAGACAACTCACGTGTGTCAAGGATGCAACAAACATATTTGCCCTCAACATATAGTGCCTTTCTGTCCCACTTGCGTTAATTATAATGATTGTCCTTAGTTATTTGTATTGTTTAATATTGTGTTATTAATAATAATGCTGTTTAAAAATTTTATATTGCCAAAAAATTTAATTATTTTAAGTTTTGCTAGAGGAAGCCAAATTTGTTAAAAAATTAGTGTATATTTTTCAAAGTCTAGTTCTTATTAATAAACCTTTCTATTTTCATTATAATTTTAGTTTTTTATTACCCTAATAACACTTATTCAATGCTGATAATAAATAATATTCATTATTTTTAATAGATTCCGAAATATACACAGTTCATATCCAGGTAATTATGACCCAGCCCCCACGTCCGTGTAAGCATTTACCACCCCCATGACGCCGGGTTAAAAAACTATATAACACGCAAAGTAGTTATGATGGCTAATCCCTTATCACGTGTTGTAGATGTCAGTACATAATTAAAGAGTATATGTATGCAGCATAAGTATCCCTTGTATTAAATTTCGGAAATCGATTATATGCTTTGTTGCAATCATTTAGCCAAAACAAAACCCTTAATAGCATCCGGTACAGTTACAGTGAATATTAAAGAACAACACCTTTGTTGCATGCAGATATAAAAGAGCTGACATTAACAATTCATGATGATTATATTTTAGTAACTCTAGCAGTCAAGTTAGATGTCGGATCAGCCGACGTTAGTATTAAGTAAGGCTCGATCATGAGCACTAGTGTTTAAAAGTAATGTAATAAATATCTTGAAATAAATTCTTTTTATGAAGCCTTCCGTTCGCCCACACTTGACTAGGTAGTACAGTAGTACTAATCAACAAAATTTCTGCCTACCCCGTTTAAGAAAAATGTTGCTTGCACAAGTTAACCACAGCATGCCCCGCCCTTTTTTTTCTCAACCAATGAGCAAATGAATCCCTTAATAATTTTCAATGTAACCAGATGGACCGTTTGTTTTTTTGACGTGGATACGTCTATGTTTTCGTTCTACAGGGGGGTCATTCTGTGAGCAGGAGTATATGCACTAACGCCATCTATTGGCGTATAAGTGAACTATGCTTGCTCTGCAGGGGGAGGGGCATTCTGTCAGCAGGAGTATATGCACTAACGCCATCTGTTGGCGCTAGTGAATACTTTTTTCATTCAACAAATGAACGCAACGAATATTTATTAATTTAGTGTCTTCAATTTGTTTATTTATTTTTTTATCAATTACTCATATATCCATTCATACATAGACGTATCCACGCATAAAATATGGCTGTATCAACGATACAGCCATATTTTTTTTACTAATGTCTATCGTCTACGTTTTTTTATGACCTTTACGAGGTTTGTTCGTTAAACTATCAGTCTGTTAATTTAGTTGCAACTTTGGCATCTAAACACCCAGTACACAGTAGAAATGAGTTCGTCAAGAAATCTAACCGTAGTGGAGCGCAGTGAAATTCACTTGCGAAATGCAGGACGAAGCATTGCCGAAATTCTAAAAGAATTAAATGTGTCGGTAAGTAATTATTGAAAATAATTTCATATGTCATGATAATCTTTATTTTCTTTTCATACATCGGAATAAATCCGTACCATGTTAATTTGGTTATAAATAAAGTACCCAGATATTTGTTGCATAATGAAGACGGAATGGTGGCTCCACGTCGAAATCAGCGTCTTCTGGTTCGACCAGTAACGCGCATCAAACGTGCATTATATGCTCCAACTAACCGCGCGATAACACTCATAGGTGATGTAGTCGCTCGGTACGATGAAATTGACATATTCGCACATAGTTTGGCAGTTCTCATGTCTAGTTTTCGAGCTATTTTAGATGACATGGACAAATAATTTATAATAAAGTGACTTAATGATAAAATTGACATTGAAAATCATAAATTATTAAATGTTTTTTGTAATTATATGTATGAATGTTGTAAAATTTTATGTTGACATTGGAATTCTTAATTCATTAAATATGTATATTCTTTATTTTATATGTAATGAATGATTTTTGTAAATTTTAATTGACATTGGAAATAATAATTTATTAAATGTATTTTTATTATTTTGACACAATAATAGATTGTCTGACTCACTTTGTATTTGGTATAAGTTTTTTTTATTTTGTTTTGTATTATTATTTATATTTAATGAATGAACAATGTAAAATTTTGTTTCATAATTTTAACTTGTTGGCATTTTGGATTTTAGTCTGTTGGCTGACAAGTCTTTGTACCTATAAATAATAAATAAATAAATATAAAAATAATTATTTTTGTTAATTACAGAGAAATACGGTTCGTCTGTGGATTCGGCGATATGGTAATGAGGGCGTCCTGGAGACACGACCCCATTTTCCACGACGAACCGTCCTGACAGAGTACCGTATTCAACGACTCAAGACAGTGTACGAGCGAGAACCCTTCACACCCACAAGGGTTTTCGCTGAAGAATTCGATTGCAGCATGCAATCAATCCGCATTGGGCCAGCGTGGAGGGTCATGGCCCATCCTCCTTAACCATCAATAAGGAAGGCCTGAGCCCCTGCAGTGGGGACGTAAAAGGGCTGGTGATGTGATGCAATCAATAAGAAATGGGCTGCGAACTATAGGTGTTAAGCATAGAAAACCGGCAAAAAAAATTGTACTATCGGATGCTCACAAAGCGGCACGTGTTCGCTTCGCACGGGATTACATAGATTTCGATTTTTCACACGTCATATTTTCAGACGAAAAAAGCTTCAAGTCAAGCCAAATCGGACGCCGACACTTAGGCGTGTGAACAATACAAGATACGAACCTCAGAATGTGTTACCTAGTAATGAATCGGGGCGAATAGTTGTCAACATGTGGGCTGCAGCGGCGGCAACATCGATGGCGATTTCGGAGCTGTCGTCATCTTCTGAGGGCACACAAATGTCGCGTCAGACGCCGGTACGGTTGTTGGCACCGCCGCCGTCAACCGCTTCACAGCGAGCGACTGGCTGCCAATGTGGTGCCTGCGAAAGCAGGCACATAGTTAATTTCTTCATATAGTTTAGTTTTTAATATTAAAAAAAATAAGTAAACATATTTTGTTTCATTTAGTCATTACTTCACATATTTCTAGTAATTTGAAATGCATTCTGAATATTGCAACAATCAAAATAATTATTGAAAGTTGCTTAGAATACTTTAATTACTTGCCTTTAATATTTAGATGCGGCTTATATTTATATATTTAGATTTTCCTCGTAAAAATGTTAATTGGTATTACTGCATAATTCATGTCGTCCAAGTAGAAGTTGAACAAAAAGACATAAAAAGGTAGGTATAAATATATCTATACAAAGGACTTTAAATTTTACGAAGAGAACATTTCTTTGCTTCAAAAATATGCATCATGGTATAAGTTGTTAACAGAGTACCTGTTACACCGTGCGAAACAATTGTTTCGTCGCAAGAAAAAATACCCGAACCTGTAACGGGCGACCGGATGTTTTATTGGTTATCTAGCTTTTGTCGATAAAGAAAGAAAACATATTACGATCTGAGTTTGTCTTTCTTTTAAAATGTAAATTATGAAACATTTTTAAAATCATTGTTATCATAATAATACCTTTTTTTTTTTTTGTTAACGCAGGGGAAATGCACCTTAAGCCTCAAACCAGGGCTCCTCTTCCACCCCGCCCTGAAAAGGGCAGGTTAACGTGGAAGCCCTACCTGGTAAAACCCGCTGCGGTTCACCTCACGCGAAATAAGGAGGAACCCGGTATCCTGCAAGGAGGGCCCGGTTTATCACAATAATACCTACGACTTTTTACGTTTGCGTTCGTTAAATAAAATCTGCTAGAGTAAAATTATTATTCTAGCAGAAGTTTCATACTAATTTAACTGTTATTTAACAGGTCAAGTCTTCCCATGTAAACACAGCTGTCCATTTTGTAAGCAAATTGTTTTAACAAAAAAACAAAACACGTGGTTGCGTTACCCTATATTGCATGGTGTAAGAGAATCACCGATCACTTTCTCTTCGGTCTTTGGTTATTGACCGGTTAAGTATAAACAATCAAAACCTTTTCTATCGACTCCCAGAAGGGTTAAAAATAATAAATCTTAATTTAACTAGTCACTCCCGCTACAGTGCGAATCTCTCGTGAACTTTAATTTTTTTAATTACATAATTCGATCATTAAATCATCCTATGATTATGTGAATAATTACATGACTTTTATAATAATTTTCTAGTTTTTTATCAATATTTAGATAGACATAGACATTTTTTACAGGTATATAAAAATAAGTATGTGTGCGCGCGCGCGTGTGTGTTTATGTGTTTGAGTATGTACGACAATATTATACGATGTACACGTGCCCAGCCATACAACAAATTATTATCGATCTTGAGATCTTAAATGGCGAGGCCTATGAAATGTTTTTAAGAAATAAAGTCTTCGGCATTTTTATTAAAGTACCATTAGCGACCAGTCCAGACTAGCGTATGGTTTACCAGCACGATGGCTGCCCGCACACTTTAGAATTAAAGTACGCGAATGGCTTGACAATAATTTTCCAAACCGATGGATTGGCAAAGGAGGACCTATTCCTTGGCCGGCGAGGAGTCCAGACTTAACCCCTATAGACTACTACATCTGGGGTCACATGAAGAGCCTAGCGTGTGCGACGTGTCTCCGTCACTCATACCAACAATCGACGAACTAAAAAGGCGAATAATAATTGCTGTCCAACAAATAAAATTAATTTGTCAAGTGGTGTCGTTAAATCCGAATTACGAAAACGCAGACGTCTTCGCACAAGAAAAAGAGTATATTATTTTGAAAACATGCTATAAAATAATGTAAAAATCACCAGCCACATTACTATTAGTTTTTGCTTCCTAACTTCTCCTCATCTAATTAAACCACCACTAGAGTCATAGCTAGAGACTAGTGGTGGTTAAATTAGCGCCCAGTGTGTTAATTATCACGCTTTTCTCTCTTAACGATTAACGCTACTCAATAGGTAGGTATAACTTCACGCGCTAACACGATTCACTGGTGAAATTCCAAAACGATTTAACGATCCAACGACCAAACGAACGAAACGAGACCGCGGCCACAGTGTGACCAGATTAAGCAGAATTCTGCACCTTTAGCAGATTTGACTCCCCATTTGTGGTCCAGCATATTGTGTCGCAGATCTGAAATGATATCAGTTTTTAGCAGAACTTTATCATGTCTTAGCAGAAAATTAGCAGGATCAGACACTGGTTACTTTTGCGCAGTTTATTTTGGTTACACAGTATAAAATCACTCTCAAAGTGGTGTGAAAAATCTACCATTCTTAAATAATGCACTTTTTTTCTTAGTGTTGCTACTTAGGTAGAATTCAATGGAAATCCCTGAATATCGATAGATATTTTATTTCAAGTTGTAGTACTTGTTGCAGAGTTCATCGTAGTCATCCATCTTCAGTCAGTTGTGTCGTGCGAGTTAAATTTATTAAAAATGAAAAGAAAATATGACCAAAACTATCATTCTAAGTGGGAAAAGGAACCTCTGTTTCCATCCTGGCTATCAAGATCCAAATATGACAAGAATGCTGCTTTTTGTAAAGCATGTAATATGAAATTAGTTTCACGGCTATCAATTTTGAAAGATCATGTAAATTAGATAAAACACAAAAAATGTATTATTGGATATACTGGACAGTCATCCTACATATATTTTCTGAATAACATTTTTTATACGTGTCACAATCAAATAGAATATTACATTTCGATTGCAGGTACAAACATTCTCTGGCAAAACTTCCATAACAGAAGAGGCAAAGAAAGCTGAAATCAAAATGTGTGCATTTCTAGCAGAACATAATTTACCATTTAGGTTATGGATCATTTGAGTGAATTATCAGAAAAATGTTTTCATGGCTCAGAAATTGCGAATTCGTTTTCGTGCAAAAGAACTAAAGCTGCTGCATCAACATACAATGTTCTGAAACCAGCAGTGGAAAAATAATTGCATGATGAATTCGCTTGTTGTGTAAATATACGCTCCAGAAATCCTATTTTTTCAGTTGTAGTAGATGAAAGTACCGATGTCACTTCATCGAAGGTTCTAGCTGTAATAATAAAATATTGGAAGGTGGTAGTATTGCTAATATAAAAGATTTTAATCCACATTGCGTGTTCATAAAATGTGTTTGCCATTCGATCGCTTTGGCTGTAAGTCATGTCAGTAAAAGTACTTTGCAGTAGTAAGAAGTGTAAATCGGATCTTCAAAGAAGTTTTGGATACTTCGCTCATAGCAGCAGACGACAGCGTGAATTTAAAGATTTCCAAAACTTTTTCAATTCTGAAAATCACAAAATTCTGCAGCATTCCGAAATACGCTGGTTATCACTTCATGCATGCATCAACAGAATTATTGAACAATGGGATCCATTGAAACTTTACTTTCAAAGACAATATCTGAAAGACAAGAATATCTCAGCTGAATTTTTATCCCAAAATTTTGAAGATGATATTATAAAACTTTACTTTTATGCCCTTGATTATATTATACCCATACCAAAAATGAATGTAATTTTTCAAGGCGACTTCTTCACAGTACAAACAATAAACATATGCTGGTACTACTTTTGACTTGTTACATGAAGATGCCATATTTGAGAAGTACAAATACTTTGGATTTAGACTCGACATCATCAGTAATTTTTTTGCTTATATCTGATATATATCTCGGTGTGAACGCAAGTAAACTAATTGAATAGTTAGCTCGAGATACACGGCAACAATAAAAAATTACAATATTTTGATGCACTATTTGAGCAAATGCAATTTCTTGATCCACAAAACGTTGCTTACAAGAATTTTACGAGTTCGGCCAAATTAGTTGGTAAATTGCCAAATGTGGTTTCTGAATCTGGTATCCAATTAATTGATTCTGAATATAGGGAGCTTAAATTGGATACAACAGTAATGCATCTATTAGAACTGGGAGGAAGTTCTGATTCTACACAAATGAACACTGAAAATTTCGGGATCACATTTCAAAAATTATTAATTCAGATGGAGCTTAAAAGTATCCACTCCATTTCGCAAAGGCGATGATGATTTTACCTTTGTCCGATACGGCTTGTGAGCGCTATTTTCACAAATGAACAATATCAAAACTAACCTGCGCAACAAATTTAAAAACGAACATGTTGCTGCCATCCTTCAAGTAAAACAGGCAGTAAAAGAACAAGGTGGATGCGTAAACTATATAAAATATAGAAATTACAGAAATCACAGAATATTAGTAATCAGGTTGTTTAGGCAACAATCAGAGCAAGTTGCATGAAATGGAACGTCGCTACAACAACGTCGCGCTTTTATTGGTCAATTGCGGACATACAGATAGCCTTTCTGACTTTTTTCGTGTTGGCGGTAGAATTAAATCAGTGCGGGATCAGTGTACACATTAAACCGTAAAGGAAGAGGTTCAAAGTTAGTGAAGGGTTACATTTGCCTATTCGTTTGCTTTGCCACTCACGCCATCCATCTAGAGCTTGCCAGCGACCTCTCTTCTGATGCTCATATTCTCGCATTAAAAAGGTTTGTATCGCGTCGTGGTAAACGTGCTCAGGTTTTCTCTGATAGCGGTAGACACATTGTAGGTGCTGCAAATGAGTTTTCAAAGTTTCTATCAACTTGCTCTAATAATAATCTTGAATACAAGACATAAAATTTTCTTTTATTCATCCATATACGCCTCATTTTGGTAGACTGTAGGAAGCCGGAGTGAAATCATGTAAATATCATTTACTTCAATTCGTATGAAATGCACATTTAACATTCGACAAATTTGGCACAATACTCACACAAGTGGAAGCTATCCTAAATTCCCGACCCGTGAGTCCTATGTATAGTGATTTTACCACACTGTGTCCAGCCCATTTCCTAATTGGTCGACCTTTAACAGCGCCTTCAACTGATCATCTAATGGATGTCTCGGTTTACTGTTTACTCAACGTTGCTGGATTTGTTGGAGTAAGTAGTGTATTTCAAAGATGCAAACTAGAACGAAATGGAAAAGGAACGAAGCTTATCTTCAATTTCTAATACGCTGGTCGTCATCAAAGAGGACAATGTTCCACAAACTGAGATAATAAGCAATAACAAATTAAAATAATTGTTTTAATAAACACAAATCTAATTATCACGAAGACTTTTAAATTTAAAACTATATCTCGATGCTCGCAACCTGTTACAGAAATTATTTGTTTTAGGAGACTCTGAATATGCCCTCGAACCTTGTCTTATGACTCCTATTCGACATACAAATATTGCTGCTGAGTGGTGGTACACAGAGTGGCACTGTAGAACCGTAGTAGTAGCAATGTAGTAGAGAGAGTAAATGGGCACTTTTAGATCCCTTGGTATTGACAGGAACCTCCACTATGCCCCAAAAAAGGCATCCGAAATGATATATGCCTGCTGCACTTTATACAATACTCTGGAGCACTTTAGGTGATAATCTTTAATCAATTATTCAACATCTTCCATACATTAAATAACATTACAAGAAATTCCTTTAATATCCCTTTCAGATATCCTATGCAATAACTGGAGATAGAGGACAATGACATCAATGCCTCTATAAATGAAAATAATTCAGTTTCTAACATAAGGATGCTGGAGCTAGCAAATACAAGAAGAGACGATATTTTGACACAATAAATACCTAACTTTCATAATAAAATTTATCATAAACTCAAAGATTTATTATTTATCTTAAAGACAAGTGAAAAAGTAATTTATGGCCCATTGCACCCATATACTGACCATTCGCAATATGCTTATGGGAAGACATGTAAAGTATTAGCGCCGATAACTCTTTTTGGGTAATTCTAACTCTGTAAATAATGAGGTTTTGTTTAAGAGAGTTTTTAACATTTAAACGACAAATAAAATGAAATTGATAAAGGAAAGTCTCTGAGAGGTGTTGCTTTAGAATATGGGATTGATCGTAATTCTTTGCGAAATTATTTAAGAGACAGGTCCAAATTGACTAAAATAAGTGAACAAGGAAATCAGTTTAAAACAGCTCAGATATTCTCAATCGAGGAAGAGAAAGCACTTGTTGAATATCTTCTAACTTGCAGCAAAATGAATTATGGCTTAACCAGACAAGCAGCTATGAAGCTGGCATATGAACATGCAACAATTAATTCCAAAAACATTTTAAATTCTTGGAGTTCCAACAACTGCAGGGAAGATTAGTTCAGAGGATTTATGAAAAGGAACCCTGAACTAAGTTCGAGAACTCCAGAAGCAACTAGTTTATCCAGATCAACCATTTTTAATAAAAAAAACGTAACTGATTTCTTTGAAAACCTGAAAGAAGTTAGAGAAAAAAAACAATATGAAGCCCATAACATCTATAACTGTGATGAAACAGGGTAGGATAAATAATAGACAATAAGTTAGTTGAGTCTGTGACTCATACAGTCGAACAGATCTCCACACCTATACACACACAAGGACATCAAATACACCTCGTCACACACCTACATTCACACACATCAACACACACTCGTACACATACGCACGCTCATTGTTATTTCATTTTTGAGTCTGTTTCAGTAGGGCGAGCACGAACTTGTAAAGTATTCGTAACGTGAACGTATCGAGTCGCCGATAGCATTACGTTAGTTCGTAGCACAAAGCACTTTCGCCGTCGTCACGTGAACTCGACACGATAACGCTGATGACGTCATCCTAATGTAATTTGAACGTGATCAACTGAACGAACACAAACCATTTTGAACGAATGTTGCGTTCTGAAATTAGATCTCTTAATATACGATATTTTAACTCGAGAATCTTTTTAGGTGATTAATTGATAATATTGAAGAAAACAATAGAAACACTATAATAAATATATAATGTGACAAAAAGAATTCATAAAGTTATGTTACTCTATGTTAATATCAAATTTTAAATACATTCTACGTACAAGGTTTAACAACCTTCGAATTCTGAACTCCGAGTAGCTCGGTGGCGTATTGGATAAGCGCCGCGGCCCGCGATCGTTGTCGTTAAGCAACTTTCGCAAGGGTCGGTCACGGGATGGGTGATCAAAATATTATTATCTCGAGCTACTCCGTGCTTCGGAAGGCACGTTAAGCCGTTGGTCCCGGCTGCATTTGCAGTCGTTAATACCCTCCAATCCGCATTGGGCCAGCGTGGAGGGTCATGGCCCATCCTCCTTAACCATCCATAAGGAAGGCCTGAGCCCCTGCAGTGGGGACGTAAAAAGGCTGATGATGATGAATTCCGAACGACTAACTTGATTATGTCAAGTTGATACAAGGGGCATCCCAGGCGGAGCGGTGTAATTACAATATTGTGGTTATAATAAGAACAAGCCATTTATAGTACTTAATGATGGTAGAGTTTATGGAAAAGTAAGTAAAGTGAATAATTATTATGCTTTTATATAAATCAATAAAGCATTATCATGATTTTGTATTTACACACACATTTAGTGACTGGTGAACTTAAAAGTTAATTAGTTTTATTGGTTTCACAGAAACGGAGATTTGTCTAAACCATCTGGTGGTCCTAGGGGTCGACATTTTATTCAATTAAAATGGAAGGAATTAACACAGAAATTGAACAGTGAAGGGACGGGTGATTTTCACTCGGAGGAGAAGTGGCGCAAGGTATGCATTCTCAAGTGGTCACCCTAAGCACTTAATACTCAAGTTTTTGTCTAGCTTTAGGCAAAGAAATTTCTTGTTATTATATTTAGAACGTTTCAAAGTTATTTTTTATATTGAAGGTGTGGAGCGATTAAAAAAATAACACCAAAAGGAAATGGGCCAAAATTAATAGAGCTGCTAGTGGCACTGGTGGTGGGCCTGCACTTCAATTATCTTTGACTGATTTAGAAAATAGAGTCATGCAAATAATTGGAGTACAGGCAGCTACTGGCATGGAGATTGTGGAGGCTGGGTTTCAACAGGTTTACTTATTATTTATTCTACATGTTTATTATTAACACACATTTCATAATTTTAAACTATTATAATTAACACGATATTATAATAAAAATAATTCTTAGTCTTCTCAAATTGTATTATATCTTATATGTATGTTTAAGCTTTGAAAAGTTTAACGAAAATCATATTAAAATACTTAAGACTAAGATTCAAATCTCGTTTCAGGATTTTTTTACTCTTTTGTTTTTTTTTTTTTGTTATAGACTGAAGTTCATACACCTGACATTCCTACCGAAAACGAGTATGAAACAATATTAGAGGAAACCACAGGTACTTATATGTACTTAATCATTTAATATTTGTATATAAACTTTTATTACTACTTACGAATTATATTTAAAAGTTATGTTTAATGTATGATTGCGTTTTATGTATTACAGAAGAACATTGGAACACTCCAGGCACTAGCAGCCAACCTACTGTACATCCAATAACAGCCACAAATGATATTGGACTTCCGACCATTGATGACGCAGACGAATGGCAACCACCCGCTCCCAAAAGAAATAAAAAAGATAGCTTAGCAAAATTATTTATAGAATCTGATAGGAATGCAAGACAGTATGCTAGAGAGCGTGATTTGGCGTACGAGAAATTAGAGAAAGAAAGAATAGAGTTGCATGATTATGAGATCGTGAAAGGGTAAGACAGCGAGATCAAGAGCTTGTATTACAAGCTCAATGGTTGGAATTTATGAAAGAATGTTTGAATGTTATTACAAAGTATTTTGATAAGGATAAGTAAATAGAAATAGCATAGCATGTAATATTAAAACAATTGTAATTATGAATAGTTAATTTAATTTGTTTAGTAATAAATAATCTTTATAGTAAGAAAAAGACAGTAACATATGTATAGTTTTCTTTTGATTTGTTTCACAAATGTATAATTAAAAAAAAGGATTTTTACTTTTTACACCAAATGTTTTATTTAATAGAGAAAATATGTCAAATCTAAATTATTATCTATTACACATTATAAATATAAAAAAAAATATTAAGAAGAGCAAATAATATAGTAAATTAAGTGACAAAATATGAATCTAAAAAGTATATGTAATAATCGATAAAGAAGTACAATTATAATAATTATATTAATAATTAAAAGAAATTCTACACTCATGTGGTAGAGAGGATCAATAGATTTCATTGTCTATTGATTCTCTATACCAGCATGAATCTTATTGCTCTTCCCCTAACCAGATCATCTCCAGCATCATTTTCCTGAAACACATGTCGAGAAAATATATGTTGTTGGCTTTCTTGATCGTCATGTGGTTCAGGCACATTAAATTCAATGGCTAAGTTGTGGAGAACACTGCAGGCCATTATTATTTTTGCACATTTTTCGGGTGCATAGTGTAGAGTACGATCTTTACACAGACATCGCCAGCGATTTTTTAATCGGCCAAAAGTATTTTCATGGTTACCCTGGCTCTTCCATGAACAGAATCGTATTTGGTTTCTGGACTGCCATCTAACGCATCATTGATGGAAGTCATCAGCCAGGGGCGTTGAGGGTATCCAGAATCAGATGTAAAATAAAAAGTTATTATTATCTAACAAAATATAGTATAATTTTGTAGTGATTTTATAGTCACTTATAATTTACAGTTATTTAAAAAAATGTTTTATGGAACAACTATTTGCGGATAAATACAGCTTTAAATATTATTAAAGAAATAGTAAATAAATAAATTAAATTACCTAGTAACCAGACTTGTTCATTATTTCTGTGTAAATTTTGCATAAAACTGTTTACTAAACTATTATCCCAAATAAATGCATCATGAGTAGCCCCCCCATATTTGGAATTTACATTTAAAATCTTACAATCACTGTCGCATACCTGAAAAAAACACCAATTTAATTTTATTTCACTTATTTCAAGCACATTTACTAGTTTTCTTTGTCGAGCTCTACGACTTATTTCACTGCAAGAATTAATTAAAATATTATAGTACTTAATTGATTTTTATTTAAAACTTAGTAATTAAATATAAACTGTTATTATAGTTGGTTGTTACGTGGTTTCTCTATTTTCCATTGTTATTCTCTCACTTAATCTAAAAGCTAGATAATAATATAATGGACTACGTTGATATCCAAACACTCTCTGCTGCATTTTGAAGTCAATTTTAATCTTAACAATCGCACAAAGCACTTTAAAATATGGTTGAATAATCTAACGCAAGTATTCTCACCGAAAAATTCTACGTGAATAAACATTCGAAGTTTACGATAGCCAGCCTTCGTAAGTGGCGATACCGTACGTCAAAAAAAAGTTCGTGCTCGCAACTTTATAAGAAACATCTCAAGTATCGTTGACGACACGTAATTTATATATGACAATATCTAGATATGACAACGGTACATTGTGACCACAAAAGCTGCTCCTAGAAAAAGTCTTCGTCGTGGTAGACAACATGGAAAGACTAAAATTTTAACAAAAACTTCAGAAAAAACAGATCTTACTAATGATTATAAACCGATAAATAAGAAAATTAAAATAATCAAAATAAAATAAAAGAGTAAATCAAAGGAAAAAGCAGTAAAAAGACAAGTTTTACAGTCAAGTGACAGTGAGACAGATCTTGACGAAGCACCCGAGTATGATAACAGCTCTGATAGCCCATAAGATGAAGAACCAAATGTAACTGATAATTGGTTTTGTTTCATGTCAAGAGTAGACAAGAGTCCACTTTCGCGAGCACGACAACCACTTTTCTCTTCTTTTTGACCTTTGAAACTGAGATAAGAAAATTCATTAAAATATAATTTAATTAGAGATTCAATTAATAAAATATCTTGGAGCCAGTTTAAATGCATGTTTTACTAAAATTACTGTTTTACAATTTTGTTCATTCTGCTACAAATTTGAACACAGTTACTACTAAATCAATTGCAATATGAGTTTTGTAGAACCTGTCGTGCTGTTGACCATACAAAAAAAACAGCACTGACAATATTCTGATATATATTTATTTTATAATAATGTTATCAACAAATCATATTTTTGTTTTATTTGTTTACACTTTCAAGTTATAATCAACGACTAAAACTCAAGTAAATATAATGACCAATTTGAGATAATAAGCAATAACAGACATTAAATGTAATAATCAACAAATAATACTTAAAGTAATAATAATCACAAAACTGAGATAATAAGCAATAACAAATTTAAATAATTGTTATAATAAATTCCAAATCTAATTATCACGAAGACCTTAAAATTTAAAACTATATCTCGATGCTCGCAACCTGTTACAGAAATTATTTGTTTTAGGAGACTCTGAATATGCCCTCGAACCTTATCTTATGACTCCTATTCGACATACAAATATTGCTGCTGAGTGGTGGTACACAGAGTGGCACTGTAGAACCGTAGTAGTAGCAATGTAGTAGAGAGAGTAAATGGGCACTTTAAGATCCCTTGGTATTGACAGGAACCTCCACTATGCCCCAAAAAAGGCATCCGAAATGATATATGCCTGCTGCACTTTATACAATACTCTGGAGCACTTTAGGTGATAATCTTTAATCAATTATTCAACATCTTCCATACATTAAATAACATTACAAGAAATTCCTTTAATATCCCTTTCAGATATCCTATGCAATCACTGGAGATAGAGGACAATGACATCAATTTCTCTATAAATGAAAATAATTCAGTTTCTAACATAAGGATGCTGGAGCTAGCAAATATAAGAAGAGACGATATTTTGACACAATAAATACCAAACTTTCATAATAAAATTTATCAAAAACTTAAAGATTTATTATTTATCTTAAAGACAAGTGAAAAAGTAATTTATGGACCATTGCACCCATATTATGACCATTCGCAAAATGCTTATGGGAAGACATGTAAAGTATTAGCGCCGATAACTCTTTTTGGGAAGTTCTAACTCTGTAAATAATGAGGTTTTGTTTAATAGAGTTTTTAACATTTATACGACAAATAAAATGAAATTGATAAAGGAAAGTCTCTGAGAGGTGTTGCTTTAGAATATGGGATTGATCGTAATTCTTTGCGAAATTATTTAAGAGACAGGTCCAAATTGACTAAAATAAGTGAACAAGGAAATCAGTTTAAAACAGCTCAGATATTCTCAATCGAGGAAGAGAAAGCACTTGTTGAATTTCTTCTAACTTGCAGCAAAATGAATTATGGCTTAACCAGACAAGCAGTTATGAAGCTGGCATATAATAAGCAACAATTAATTCCAAAAAGATTTTAAACTCTTGGAGTTCCGACAACTGCAGGGAAAGATTGGTTCAGCGGATTTATGAAAAGGAGCCCTGCACTAAGTTTGAGAACCCTAGAAACAACTAGTTTAAATAAAAAAAAACGTAACTGATTTCTTTGAAAACCTGAAAGAAGTAAGAGAAAAATAACAATTTGAAGCTCATAAGATCTATGACTGTGATGAAACAAGGTGTACACTTTGCGTCGAACAGATCTCCACACCTATACACACACAAACACATCAAATACACCTCGTCACACACCTACATTCACACACATCAACACACACTCGTACACATACTAGTTATTTCATTTTTGAGTCTGTTTCAGACTGCGTTTTTTTATTTATAGTGGCAATTGCTATCTATATTATTTGTTGGCTTTTGCGAACATCGAGTTTGTCCTCGATTCGTTCTTTTAAGGTTTGTGATCAGTGGACGTGTGGTCCGTCACCTTTATGTTGGCTCACCACACCGTCATTGTTGACTGCCGACACGTTTTATTTCCAGTTCGATTTCCTTGCATTTTTGCAGTTTCTTTTAGTTAATCTTTTAAATCTGCCATTATTTAGATTTATTTTGAAATTTTGAGTTTTAGTTTTTGGCGCCTCGATTCTCAGTGCTTTAATCGGGGAAGGGTGAAATGTAACGTAAAATTTACGTCACATGGATTTTTCTTACAACTCGGTTAAATGGGCCTCATCCCAGGGTCAATTTAGTTTTATAATTAAAAAAAAAAAACAAATAAACTTCACTGTCAGATTAGACATTTGTCTTTCTTGTCACTTCTTACCGATTCTTTTATATTTTTCTTAATATTGGTACATCTACGGTATTTTAATAAAAATACCCAATATTTTATCATGGTAAGCATTTTTCTTGTTGGAATTATAATGATTTCATAGTATTTTTCGATTTTCAAAAATGTTATCCATGCAGGTGGAAACATAAGCCTACCTAGGGGTCCACCTTGCCCCATGTTATAATAATAATTGATTTGCGTTTGAATAGGGTATACAATAGAGATGTAAAAGGAAATACAATTATCGCCTATTCAGCCATTAACAATAGCATGCAAATGTAGTAAAAAAAGATACTATAAGCACTGATTAATCCACCCAGGCTAACGTTCAGTTTCTATAGTCTAAGAACTCGTGCAACGAATAAAAGGAACGCTCTGCAAGTCAGTTATATAACTCTCTCTTAAGGGCTGATTTTTCAATAGGCAGTTAAAACGTCAGATAACTAACTATCCATTATCTTTAACTGAGATTTTAACGAACGAATAAAGACATTCAATTTTTTAAAGTTCAGTTAACATCCAGTTAGCTATCCAACCTTTTTTTTGTGGCTAGCTTCATAAACTATTTGCGAGAGGGAGACGCACTTATGTACATTTACAGATCTTAGAAAGAGACAGAATACTTTCATGAAATGACAGCGATTGTCATAATAAAAGTGAATTACTATTTCTAACCTAACCTAGTCTTGACGGCTTGGTTGTGTATTATTATTTTCTATTCGTTCGAAAAGAAAAATTGTAGTAAATAAATAATGTAAAATATTGTTAAACGCGAACGTGCAACAAATTTCAGCATGAGCGAAGTGAGATTGCTAACCGAATTGGTGGCAAAGCATCGCACCATCATTGAAAATAAAAAGACCGACGCCGTCACGAATAAAGAAAAAGAAGCGGCGTGGAATAAAATTGCGACATTATTTAATGCCGCTACAGGCTTAACAGCACGTAGTACGAAGAGCTTAAAGCTTAGGTATGAGAACATTAAAAAAGATACCAAAAAAACGATGGCAAAACATCGACAGGAGCTGTACAAAACTGGTGACGGGTCCCCACCTAGGTCAGGTTTTACGGACATTAAGGAAAAACCTGAAAAGAAAGAATTTCTTTGAAAACCTGAAAAAGTAAGAGAAAAAAAACAATATGAAGCCCATAACATCTATAACTGTGATGAAACAGGGTAGGATAAATAATAGACAATAAGTTAGTTGAGTCTGTGACTCATACAGTCGAACAGATCTCCACACCTATACACACACAAGCACATCAAATACACCTCGCGTCACACCTACATTCACACACATCAACACACACTCGTACACATACGCACGCTCATTGTTATTTCATTTTTGAGTCTGTTTCAGACTGCGTTTTTTTATTTATAGTGGCAATTGCTATCTATATTATTTGTTGGCTTTTGCGAACATCGAGTTTGTCCTCGATTCGTTCATTTAAGGTTTGTGATCAGTGGACGTGTGGTCCGTCACCTTTATGTTGGCTCACCACACCGTCATTGTTGACTGCCGACACGTTTTATTTCCAGTTCGATTTCCTTGCATTTTTGCAGTTTCTTTTAGTTTATCTTTTAAGTTTGCCATTGTTTAGATTTATTTTGAAATTTTGAGTTGTAGTTTTTGGCGCCTCGATTCTCGATGCTTTAATCGGGGAAGGGTGAAATGTAACGTAAAATTTACGTCACATGGATTTTTCTTACAACTCGGCTGAATGGGCCTCATCGCAGGGTCAATTTACAGTTTTATAATTTAAAAATACAAATAAACTTCACTGTCAGATTAGACATTTGTCTTTCTTGTCACTTCACGAATTTTTATAAAGTGAAATATATGAAATCTTTTATAATTTTTTAGTCTTGATACATCTACGGTATTTTAATAAAAATACCCAATATTTTATCATGGTAAACATTTTTCTTATTGGAATTATAATGATTTTATAGTATTTTTCGATTCTCAAAATTTTTATCTTCGCAGGTGGAAACATAAACCTATCTAGAGGTCCACCTTGCCCCATGTCACATTAGTTTTTTGTTTAAAAACGGTAATTATTCGACAGAATCGACCGATATAGTTTTCCTTTGTTTTGTTTTCCGAAATTTAATCAACGGTGTGATTTCTTTTCAGCCTTTGGCATTTTTGTTTATACATATAATTTTTGTTCTTCAATTTTTGATGTACTGAATCATAACCTTACCGCATGAGCCACGCCACACTCAATTGATACAACTCAATCTTGGGCACGCCAGCTTAGCACAATGTTATTATGATGCAGTTATGTAAGCACGATGCATTAAGGAGCAACTCGGTGATGTAAACTTTTTTATTAATTGAAAATTCTTATTATCTAGACTTTGGAGATTATAGACAACTTAACTTTAAAATTAGAATTACTTATAAGTTTCTAAAATAAACTTGTTGTTCGCTATATACAAGCCCCCCTTGCGATTAAAAATTCTAATCTCTCCGGCTTAGCTTTCCAGGTAGGTCTGGCGCCTGAAAAATTTGTTTTATATTTGTTAAATTTGTTAGTGACCTAACCTCTTGATAAATTTCTTTGGAAACTTACATTCCACTTTATTTTTCAATATTACAATTAACGCCATTTCAATTCTACTTTATTTTTTATTATTACAGACTGTACAAGAGTGTTCCAAAGTAATAGACAGCAAGCATGAGCGTCAAGTAGAACGTGGCAGTCTTGTGACAGTTTGCTTCGCCGTGAACGCTCTGGGAAATGTAATTTTACCATTTTTCATTTTCCCTAGAGTTAATAATAACGAATCCTTTGAGCTGATGGATGACAAACAAGAGCTTTGTAAAATTAATGATGCATTTTGTGAAGTATTCGAATGCCTCTCTTCAAAACTTCGTCAATGGATTGCACAAAGACGGCCTACAAATCGGCTTCAATTATAACTGTGTTGAATGTCTGATAAAAGCTTTAAATAGATTGAAAGCTCTACCAGTTCAGTAAGTAATAGGAGAGCGGAAAAGAAAAGATCACACAGAAAATTAAGTTTGGGTCCTTCTAGTTCCACAACTCCAAGAGAACCTAAAGCTGAATATTTCTTTTCACCAATAACATCACCTATTATCATCATGAAATCTTCTGAACAAAAAATGCAAAATTTCACTAATGATTTGGAAAATCTTAGAACTTCAAACACTACAGATGTTAAAAAAAGTATTTTAGAATTTCTTTCTAAACATAAAGATACTCTTAATGACTGGGTTAATCATACAATAGCTTTTGCGGGTTTTAATGCAGAAGTCATGCGTGCTTATATTCTGAGAAAATCAAGTCTTGATAGAATAACACCCCTGTGCATAATTGGTTTAATAAGAAGCAATTACATTGATAGAATTAAAACCACAATGAAGAGTAAAGAATTTACTAAATGTTTCAATGAAGCTTGTTCTATCTTGAAAGTTAAAAAATCAGTGACAGGAGATTATGAAGCAATCACATTATCGAGAATGATTGCCTATTTCCCAGACATAGTACTGAATTTCCTACATATTCCGGATTTTACCATGGCAGTAGAATATTCTGAACTACAGACCATACATCCTGAATATCCCAAAGTGGCTAGGCATCAAGTGTGTAAATAAATATATTTTTTCTTTCTTACAAGAATCTGATTAAATCATAACGTAGATCCTAATATAATTTCCATTTATTTAGTTTAAGTTTGCAGTAACGATTTTTTTATTAAAATAAAAATAAATCAAATGAAAAACAAAAAAAAATAAAACCAAAACCAAGTCTTGCTTATCCTCGACAACCACGAAAGTCATGTCAATATTGAAGACGTCAAATACGCAAAATTAAATGGAGTGACTTTGCTGGCTTTACCAGCCCACTGCAGCAATACAGCCACTAGATGTTGCCATTTATTCATCTTTTAAGACTAGATATAACTCAGCCATGAATAATTGGATGATAAGTAACCCAGAATGAACTGTTACGATCTACAATATACCCGGATTAATAAGCATAATTATGTCGCAGGCTTTTAGCCAATCCAATATTCTGAGTGGATTTCGAAAACCCGGGATATAACCCGGACATCTTTACAGATAAAGACTTTTTATGCTCCGCGGTAACAGGAAGACAGATGACTGGTGAACTTCAGGAGCAAGAACAACGTCAGCCAGGGCCTTCAACATCAGCATCAGTAGGGCGAGCACGAACTTGTAAAGTATTCGTAACGTGAACGTATCGAGTCGCCGATAGCATTACGTTAGTTTGTAGCGCAAAGCACTTTCGCCGTCGTCACGTGAACTCGACACGATAACGCTGATGACGTCATCCTAATGTAATTTGAACGGGATCAACTGAACGAACACAAACCATTTTGAACGAATGTTGCGTTCTGAAATTAGATCTCATAATATACGATATTTTAACTCGAGAATCTTTTTAGGTGATTAATTGATAATATTGAAGAAAACAATAAAAACACTATAATAAATATATAATGTGACAAAAAGTATTCATAAAGTTATGTTACTCTATGTTAATATCAAATTTTAAATACATTCTACGTACAAGGTTTAACAACCTTCGAATTCTGAACTCCGAGTAGCTCGGTGGCGTATTGGATAAGCGCCGCGGCCCGCGATCGTTGTCGTTAAGCAACTTTCGCAAGGGTCGGTCACGGGATGGGTGATCAAAATATTATTATCTCGAGCTACTCCGTGCTTCGGAAGGCACGTTAAGCTTTTGGTCCCGGCTGCATTTGCAGTCGTTAATACCCTCCAATCCGCATTGGGCCAGCGTGGAGGGTCATGGCCTATCCTCCTTAACCATCCATAAGGAAGGCCTGAGCCCCTGCAGTGGGGACTTAAAAAGGCTGATGATGATGAATTCCGAACGACTAACTTGATTTTGTCAAGTTGATACAAGGGGCATCCCAGGCGGAGCGGTGTAATTACAATATTGTGGTAATAATAAGAACAAGCCATTTACAGTACTTAATGATGGTAGAGTTTATGGAAAAGTAAGTAAAGTGAATAATTATTATGCCTTTATATAAATCAATAAAGCATTATGATTTTGTATATACACACACATTTAGTGACTGGTGAACTTAAAAGTTAATTAGTAGGAGTAGCTCGGTGGCGTAGTGGTTAAGCGCCGCGGCCCGCGATCGTTGTCGTTAAGCAACTTTCGCAGGGGTCGGTCACGGGATGGGTGACCAAAAAATTATTATCTCGAGCTACTCCGTGCTTCGGAAGGCACGTTAAGCCGTTGGTCCCGGCTGCATTTGCAGTCGTTAATACCCTCCAATCCGCATTGGGCCAGCGTGGAGGGTCATGGCCCATCCTCCTTAACCATCCATAAGGAAGGCCTGAGCCCCTGCAGTGGGGACATAAAAAGGGCTGATGAATGAACTTAAAAGTTAATTAGTTTTATTGGTTTCACAGAAACGGAGATTTGTCTAAACCATCTGGTGGTCCTAGGGGTCGACATTTTATTCAATTAAAATGGAAGGAATTAACACAGAAATTGAACAGTGAAGGGACGGGTGATTTTCACTCGGAGGAGAAGTGGCGCAAGGTATGCATTCTCAAGTGGTCACCCTAAGCACTTAATACTCAAGTTTTTGTCTAGCTTTAGGCAAAGAAATTTCTTGTTATTATATTTAGAACGTTTCAAAGTTATTTTTTATATTGAAGGTGTGGAGCGATTAAAAAAATAACACCAAAAGGAAATGGGCCAAAATTAATAGAGCTGCTAGTGGCACTGGTGGTGGGCCTGCACTTCAATTATCTTTGACTGATTTAGAAAATAGAGTCATGCAAATAATTGGAGTACAGGCAGCTACTGGCATGGAGATTGTGGAGGCTGGGTTTCAACAGGTTTACTTATTATTTATTCTAAATGTTTATTATTAACACACATTTCATAATTTTAAACTATTATAATTAACACGATATTATAATAAAAATAATTCTTAGTCTTCTCAAATTGTATTATATCTTATATGTATGTTTAAGCTTTGAAAAGTTTAACGAAAATCATATTAAAATACTTAAGACTAAGATTCAAATCTCGTTTCAGGATTTTTTTACTGTTTTGTTTTTTTTTTTGTTGTTATAGACTGAAGTTCATACACCTGACATTCCTACCGAAAACGAGTATGAAACAATATTAGAGGAAACCACAGGTACTTATATGTACTTAATCATTTAATATTTGTATATAAACTTTTATTACTACTTACGAATTATATTTAAAAGTTATGTTTAATGTATGATTGCGTTTTATGTATTACAGAAGACTCCAGGCACTAGCAGCCAGCCTACTGTACATCCAATAACAGCCACAAATGATATTGGACTTCCGACCATTGATGACGCAGATGAATGGCAACCACCCGCTCCCAAAAGAAATAAAATAGATAGCTTAGCAAAATTATTTATAGAATCTGATAGGAATGCAAGACAGTATGCTAGAGAGCGTGATTTGGCGTACGAGAAATTAGAGAAAGAAAGAATAGAGTTGCATGATTATGAGATTCGTGAAAGGGTAAGACAGCGAGATCAAGAGCTTGTATCACAAGCTCAATGGTTGGAATTTATGAAAGAATGTTTGAATGTTATTACAAAGTATTTTGATAAGGATAAGTAGATAGAAATAGCATAGCATGTAATATTAAAATAATTGTAATTATGAATAGTTAATTTTATTTGTTTAGTAATAAATAATCTTTATAGTAAGAAAAAGACAGTAACATAAGTATAGTTTTCTTTTGATTTGTTTCACAAATGTATAATTAAAAGGATTTTTACTTTTTACACCAAATGTTTTATTTAATAGAGAAAATATGTCAAATCTAAATTATTACCTATTACACATTATTAATATAAAAAAAAAATATTAAGAAGAGCAAATAATATAGTAAATTAAGTGACAAAATATGAATCTAAAAAGTATATGTAATAATCGATAAAGAAGTACAATTATAATAATTACATTCATAATTAAAAGAAATTCTACACTCATGTGGTAGAGAGGATCAATAGATTTCATTGTCTATTGATTCTCTATACCAGCATGGATCTTATTGCTCTTCCCCTAACCAGATCATCTCCAGCATCATTTTCCTGAAACACATGTCGAGAAAATATATGTTGTTGGCTTTCTTGGTCGTCATGTAGTTCAGGCACATTAAATTCAATGGCTAAAATGTGGAGAACACTGCAGGCCATTATTATTTTTGCACATTTTTCGGGTGCATAGTGTAGAGTACGATCTTTACACAGACATCGCCAGCGATTTTTAATCGGCCAAAAGTATTTTCATGGTTACCCTGGCTCTTCCATGAACAGAATTGTATTTGGCTTCTGGACTGCCATCTAACGCATCATTGATGGCAGTCATCAGCCAGGGGCGTTGAGGGTATCCAGAATCACATGTAAAATAAAAAATTATTATTATCTAACAAAATATAGTATAATTTTGTAGTGATTTTATAGTCACTTATAATTTACAGTTATTTAAAAAATATTTTATGGAACAACTATTTGCGGAAAATACAGTGCTTTAAATATTATTAAAGAAATAGTAAATAAATAAATTAAATTACCTAGTAACCAGACTTGTTCATTATTTCTGTGTAAATTTTGCATAAAACTGTTTACTAAACTATTATCCCAAATAAATGCATCATGAGTAGCCCCCCCATATTTGGAATTTACATTTAAAATCTTACAATCACTGTCGCATACCTGAAAAAACACCAATCTAATTTTATTTCACTTATTTCAAGCACATTTACTAGTTTTCTTTGTCGATCTCTACGACTTATTTCACTGCAAGAATTAATTAAAATATTATAGTACTTAATTGATTTTTATTTAAAACTTAGTAATTAAATATAAACTGTTATTATAGTTGGTTGGTACGTGGTTTCTCTATTTTCCATTGTTATTCTCTCACTTAATCTAAAAGCTAGATAATAATATAATGGACTACGTTGATATCCAAACACTCTCTGCTGCATTTTGAAGTCAATTTTAATCTTAACAATCACACAAAGCACTTTAAAATATGGTTGAATAATCTAACGCAAGTATTCCCACCGACAAATTCTACGTGAATAAACATTCGAAGTTTACGATAGCCAGCCTTCGTAAGTGACGATACCGTACGTCAAAAAAAAAGTTCGTGCTCGCAACTTTATAAGAAACATCTCAAGTATCGTTGACGACACGTAATTTATATATGACAATATCTAGATATGACAACGGTACATTGTGACCACAATTGATTCGTCGTTTTCCAAAAGCTGCTCCTAGAAAAAGTCTTCGTCGTGGTAGACAACATGGAAAGACTAAAATTTTAACAAAAACTTCAGAAAAAACAAATCTTACTAATGATTTCAAACCGATAAATAAGAAAATTAAAATAATCAAAATAAAATAAAAGAGTAAATCAAAGGAAAAAGCAGTAAAAAGACAAGTTTTACAGTCAAGTGACAGTGAGACAGATCTTGACGAAGCACCCGAGTATGATAACAGCTCTGATAGCCCATAAGATGAAGAACCAAATGTAACTGATAATTGGTTTTGTTTCATGTCAAGAGTAGACAAGAGTCTATTGTCGCGAGCACAACGACCACTTTTCTCTTCTTTTTGACCTTTGAAACTGAGATAAGAAAATTCATTAAAATATAATTTAATTAGAGATTCAATTAATAAAATATCTTGGAGCCAGTTTAAATGCATGTTTTACTAAAATTACTGTTTTACAATTTTGTTTATTCTGCTACAAATTTGAACACACTTACTACTAAATCAATTGCAATATGAGTTTTGTAGAACCTGTCGTGCTGTTGACCATACAAAAAAAAACAGCACTGACAATATTCTGATATATATTTATTTTATAATAATGTTATCAACAAATCATATTTTTGTTTTATTTGTTTACACTTTCAAGTTATATTCAACGAATAAAACTCAAGTAAATATAATGACCAATTTGAGATAATAAGCAATAACAGACATTAAATGTAATAATCAACAAATAATACTTAAAGTAATAATAATCACAAAACTGAGATAATAAGCAATATGAAATTTAAATAATTGTTTTAATAAATAACAAATCTAATTATCACGAAGACCTTAAAATTTAAAACTATATCTCGATGCTCGCAACCTGTAACAGAAATTATTTCTTTTAGGTGACGCTGGATATGCCCTCGAACCTTGGCTTATGACTCCTATTCGACATACAAATATTGCTGCTAAGTGGCGGTACACAGAGTGGCACTGTAGAACCCGCAATGTAGTAGAGAGACTAAATGGGTATTTGAAAGGCACTTTTAGATCCCTTGGTATTGACAGGAACCTCCATTATGCCCCAAAAAAGGCATCCGACATGATATATGCCTGCTGCACTTTGTACAATACTCTGGAGCACTTTAGGTGATAATCTTTAATCAATTATTCAACATCTTCCATACATTAAATAACATTACAAGAAATTCCTTTAATATCCCTTTCAGATATCCTATGCAATCACTGGAGATAGAGGACAATGACATCAATGCCTCTATAAATGAAAATAATTCAGTTTCAAACATAAGGATGCTGGAGCTAGCAAATACAAGAAGAGACGAAATTATGTCAACCTATTTTTCATAACAAAATTTATCATAAAATTAAAAATTTATTATTTATCTTTTGGTCAAGTGAAAAAGTTGTTTGTGGTCCATTACACCCATATACGGACCATCCGCAAAATGCTTATGGGAAGACATATAATCTATTAGATGACTTTTGAGCAATGAAAATGTAGAAAGAGATAGCGCTCTACAAAGGACTATATTTACTTTTCACTTTAAACGCTTTTCATTGCATAGAATCCTAACTCTATGCACAGAATCGATCAATAAATCAAAAACCGGTAAAGTGTTCACTTAAACAAATAATGATAATAATGTTATGTGGCAATTATTTTTCTCGGGCTCGAGAAAGCTTTGTCTAGAGTAGAGAACGAGTCCCAATGTCAAACCACGCTCGGTATCTCGACAAAACTCGTATATAAGAGTTGTACGATTACGTACAATTACTAATTTATATTTACTGCTGACGTGCAACCTACTTTGGCGTGCGGTCAATAATCTAAGTATATAATATGTATCGACATTAAAGTTAGTTGTAATTTATACTTGATCAACTCATGTATCTACTAACTAAACTTATCTACTAATTAAATAAACTTAACTATTTACACAGTGCAGAGTTTAACTTGAACTATTATTCAACTTTATCCAAACTATTATCAACTACACTCTTCAAGACCCCAACAAGAGTAATGTTTCTCGATCTATACCCGACTCAACTCCCAGTCGTCATGCTAAGTATGCTGGTTAATTTTTATTGCTTGTATCAACAGCACTAACGAACGGTCTTCCCACCCAACTCGAGCACAAGTTGAAGCTATAATGGACTTTTTAGAAAAGAATCCAACCATAGCCAAAAGTTTTTCGAAGGTGGCAAGTGTCCGGGATACCGCACGGTAGCCGTGGGAGAGGTTAGCTGCGCAATTAAATAGTACGGGAGGTAGTGCTAAATCCTGGAAGCATCGGTTTTACGTTTTTTATAGCATTTAATTTAATGATTAATCATTTTAAGGATTTAAGGCTTCAATACAAAATAACTTCATATTTTTCAAGTCTTATACACAGAACATATTTACAGAGCATAGTACAGATGCATCTCTATATTTATTTGTATATTATTGCATTTTTATTTTCATTTTACAAAATTCTTTTAACGATATCTCAATACTTATTGGCTAAACTGTACAATATCCCCCCACGATATGAAAGTTGGTAATTTTTTGATGAAAAGATCTATAATAAAGACGTAATTCTGTACTTTCATTTTACGGAACTTCATAGTTTATGATAAAAAAATATTAAAATTAAAAATTTCCTAACCAATATTGACATTGACAAGTTTACTTAAGCTGCTACTCTAGTTGTAATATGCAAAATTATTATATAATATTATTAGGTACACAATAAGAGAAAATATGCTTTATCTGTATACGAACGAAGAATGAAACGCAAAATGACGCCATTTTAAGTTTATAGAATTTTTTCTTTCAATACAACATTGTGACTACCATAGTGTCTTCGAAGTCTCATGGCTCGGAATCAGCCGTTTTGCCTGAAGAATCGTGTGTAGTGCAAGTTTTGGAGTCAAGTGAGCCGCTTGTTACGGCCTCTTCTTCAGTGCCTCATAGTGACCTAGTGAGAGACTCTAGTGAGCCGCTTGTTCCTTATACTACGCGAGTGCAAGAGTTGGACTCTGTTGAGCCGTTTGTGCTCCCGTCATTTACCGCTGAAGAACCAGTTGCTGGTCCTAGTGGGATGGCTGACTTTATTATGCCAGCTGCTCCAACTTTCGAAAGTGAGGAGACACCAGCATCTACCGCATCATCTGGGAGTAGAGTACATCTCCTTCGCTGCGGCGTGTGCATTGGCGAGCACCCCACCATGGGAGTATGAGGCACGAATAGTTACTGCAGACAGGTAATTGTCATATATGAATTAGAAAACCAGTCCGCTGAAAATAAAATTGGCGGCCCCAACAAAATAGTACAAATTGATGAATCCAAATTGAAAGACACTGGGTTTTGGGGATGATAGAACATGGCAGCGATGACCTTCGTTTGGAAGTGTGTCCCGATAATGAAAGATCAGCAGATAAATTGATAAAAAAACATGTTCAGGAAGACTCCATCATCCATACCGACTTTTGGAGAGCCTATGACTGCATTCCTGAGCATGGATACATACATAAAAAAGTTAATCATAGTGATCCTATAAATAAATTTGTGGCACCAGACAAGTCACACAGTCAAAGAATAAAAAGCCAATGGCGAGGCCTGAAAAAAGTATTTCGCCAGCAACTTAACAAAAGCAAATTTACAGACTGGCTATATGAATATTCGTGGCGGCATAAAAACCAAATACAGAACCGCGATCCATTCGAGGAATTAATAAAATGTATTAAATATGTGTACAATAACATATCGCAATAAATATTTTCCTATTAAGTAAGAAATAGTTTTATTTCTAATTACCCTTTGTTCAGATTTATGTTTTACATTAATTTTTTACATAGTTAATACTTTCATGCACACAATAGTCAGTAGTTTTCAATACATTTAATACACAAAAATCCATAATATGAGTATTTGCACATTCGCATAACCTCAAACTTCAATCATTAACCGTCGGTCTCGGGACCCGGTGCGGAGCGCACGCGTCCATTGTGCAGCTCCCGGCCTGAAATCAATTAAATCAATAAAATCAAATCAATAAACTCGGTCAAACCAAACTCAAACTAAACTAAACTCAATTAAACTAATAAATAAATAAACCATCCTGCCTGGGAAGTATCACGGAGAGCACGGGTCCGCGGTTGCTCCTTCCCCATACACAATAAACTATAATTTAGATTTCAATGTTAAGTTTGTTCAGATTGTTCAGTTAGGGTACATCTGAACAAAGCGCAAAAGCATCATTAAAAAGACTTTTACACCGGTGCCTCCTACAGGAAAGCTACAGAACAGTGAAAGTGAGTACTCGGAGTGAAAACGCGGAACATTTTCGTCGAAATTCAGCTATTTTCGCACAATTGTTAAGATTGTTAAGATTGTTCAGTTCGGTTAAGGTGCATCTGAACAAAGTGCAAAAACATCGTTAAAAAGACTATCACATCGATGCCTCTTGGAGGAAAGCTAGAAATCAGTGAAAGTGAGTACTCGGAGTGATAACGCGAAACAATTTTCGCTGAAGTTCAACTAGTATTGCACAATTATTAAAATTGTTAAGACTGTTCAGTTCGGTTAAGGTGCATCTGAACATAGTGCAAAAACATCGCTAAAAAGACTATCACATCGGTGCCTCTTGGAGGAAAGCTAGGAAACTGCGCAGCAAGTACTCAGAGTGAAAAATCGAAACATATTTCGTTAAAAATTGGCCATTTTCGGGCTCCTGTTCAGATCTGTTCAGATTGTTAAGATTGTTCAGTTCGGTTAAGGTGCATCTGAACAAAGTGCTAAAACATCGTTTAAAAGACTATCACAAAGGTGCCTCTTGGAGGAAAGCTAGATATCAGCGAATGTGAGTACTCGGAGCAAAAACGCGGAACATTTTCGTCGAAACTTGGCTATTTCTGCGCAATTGTTAAGTTTGTTCAGATTGTTCAGATTGTTCAGATTGTTCAGGTCGGTTAAGATGCAACTGAACAGAGTGCAGAAACATCGTTAAAAGACTATCACATCGGTGCCTCTTGGAGGAAAGCTGGAGGACCGCGCACTTAATTCGGACATTTTAGTGTAATTACTAGGATTGTTCAGATTGTGTTAAGATTGTTCAGTTCCGTTAAGATGCATCTGAACAAAGTGCAAATACGGCATTGGAAATTATAATCCAATGAAAGACAATAAACCCGGGCAACCTCGAGAGCATGTTTCTTTCACCTGCAAGACCTAGAAACCAGCGGTTACACATCAGGTTGGGATTGTCCGCCATCCTAACAATCCCAACAACTCAATGCCGAGTCATCCCTGAGCCGACGGCCTGTGCCGGCCGCCCTCCTGTGGTGGCCATGGAGCCGCAAGCTGCACCCCAGCTTCAGGTAGGAGAGTGCATCTTTTTCTGCAAAAGGGACCCATACTCGCCGCCATCCGAACTGTCAGGCCGGGCCGCTGGCGCTAAAGTGGGCAACGGACCGACTGCTGCTGCCTGGAAATCAACTAACAACAATTATTATTAGCAATTATCATTAGAATCCCTTTCCCAATTGTAATGATTTGAACAACGAATAGATCCAAATGATTGTTATAATTATCATTAATTAATTAACGACTTAGATGTAATAATTAGTATTAGTAAAATCAAATTAACCAATGCTTATAGGACTGTGGGCCCCTCCACATTCCCTCACCTCAGGGGCAATTTATTGATTAACTTAAGTGTTGATTTCACCTATTTTCTGATTCTTTGTGATTTTATGATTTATGTGTTATATTTTCTATGTTTTTACATTTAATTTTCTTTCTAGATCAATATTAAGGTATAAAAGTGGAATATTAAATTAATGGGAATGTTGGGACTGATATGATTGTTAAGATAAGAATAAAAGGGACAAGAGTGTTAAGAATAAAAGGTGATGAGAGTGTTAGGATCGGTAAGATTGATTCAGGTTTCTTTCAGGTATGTTAGGATCATCGAGAAAGTGGAAAATGTCAAGTTTGTTAAGATCGGTTCAGATGTGTTCAGATTTGTTAGAATCATTAAGATTGTCAAGATTGGTTCAAGTCTGTTCAGGTGTAAAGGGATATATTAGAATAAAAGGAGAATGAAAGGTAATAAGACTGTTGAGATTGCTAAATTGTTAAGACAGGTTCAAATCCGTTCAGTTTTGCTAGGATTACTGTTAAGATTGGTTCAGATCGGTTCAGGAGCGTAAAAAGATTGTTAAATTGTTAAGATTGGTTCAGATCTGTTCAGATTCGTTAGGATTATTGTTAAGATTGGTTAAGATCTGTTCAATTATATTAAGATTGGTTCAGATTAGTTCAGATTTGTTCAAGTTCGTTAAGATTGTTAAGATCGTTAGGATTATTAATGATAAAACTACCAGCATTATAAATTAGCCTATACTCAAGCACACACACATCTCCTAACAAACACAAACATTGGCGACAATGACATCACCTATCCAAGGGACTCATCAGAGGCACATTCAGCTACTCCCCCAAACGCCCCCTTGCGACGAAATCTGCGGCCCTTACGGCCCCCATCTCCCGGAAGAGGATGCGGAACAGCCTCTCCTCTCTAAGAACCCTGGGAGGGGCCCTCCGGAGAGCACCGACTCAACATTGGGACATGGCGGGATGTATCATCCTCGAGCTGATAATCGGCGTCGTCAACAGCGCCAGTTGGAATATGGATCCCCTTACGGCAGGCACCCAAGTCATTGTGCAACACGATCCGGACACGCCCCGGCCTCGGGTGGGATGGGTTCTCCATACATCTACGAGATGCCTTCAGATACCAGAAGGAATCCTGCTCCTTGCAACCATCTGACTGATGAAGAGGCAAGGCAGCCAGCAGCGGCCCCCGCAATAGAGCCACACTCAGTTTGCTACTGCCCAATCCATGGAGCCGGACCATCCGGGCCGGAAAGAGCCCCGATACAGCTGATTCTGCCCGAAAATCAACCAACAACAATCATAATAAAGAATCATTACTAGAATTTTGTCTCCAAATGGCGACCGATAAATGATTAATGCATAAATAACTCAATTATAATAATAAATAAATAAATAAATAATCAAATAAATAAATAAATAAATAAATGTGCAATCAGTGGTGTCATTATTATTGTCAGAATTGAAATCAAGTTTGCTAAGATAAGATTATCAGAACAAAAGGACGAATAGGAGTGTTAGATTTGTTAAGATTGTTAATATAGGATTATAAGAATAAAAGGGGATAAGAGTGTTAAGTTTGTTAAGATTGACTCAGACTCGTTAAAGTGTGTTAGGATCATTAAAATATTAAGGCAGGATTACAAGAATAAAAGGCGATAAGAGTAAGATTGGTTCAAGCTCAAGTTTGTTCAGGTATGTTAGGATCGGTAAGAATGTTAAGATTTGTTCAGATCTGCTAAGATTGCTAAGACTGATAAGATTGTTAGAATTAATAAAAGTGTCAGGACCATTAACAACTATTAGTTGAAATATTAGAAATATTAAAATTATCAGCAAAATAATGAATGAAAGAGGAATGAACAAGACTGTTAAGATTGGTTCAGATTTGTTCAGGTGAGTTAGGATCGGTAAAAATGTTAAGATTTGTTCAGGTCTGTTAAGGTTGTTTGTTAATATTGTTAAGATTGTTCAAGTGTGTTAGGATAGTTAAGAATGTTAAGATTGGTTCAGATTTGTTAAAATTATTAAGATTGGTGGAACTATTGACGACTACTATTAGAACCATTAGGAATGATAAAATTATCAGCAAAATAATGAATGAAAGGGAACGTCAAGATCGACAGAAAGTAAGGAAAAGGTTAAGATCTGTTCAGGTATGTTAGGATTGTTAAGATTGTTAGGATTATTAAGAAGGAATGTTAAGATTGATAAGAATGTGAGGATTATTAGGATTATTAAGATTGGTAGGAATATTAACGACTATTATTAAAAGTGATAGGAATGAATATTAGGAACAATAAAATCATTAGCAAAATAATGAATAAGGGGAATGTTAAAATTGTTAATTATGTAAGAATCGCCAGGATTGTGAAGATTATTAATAACTAAAATTATTATGATCATTAAGTTTACTAAGATTGCTAAATCTGCAAAGGGAAAAAAAAAAAAAAAAAAAACAGATATATATATATACTCACCCAATTACAATTATTATACACAACACATCATTCAATTATGCAATCATTATAATTTAACCAAAGTTGATTGAAATCTTACAGAAACCTCTGAACCAAAGTAAAGTAAATCCAATATATGATTATGACAATGTGATTAGCAATTAATTAAACACTAAGCTATCTGTATATTATCAATATATAAACAAGATTCCAGCATAATTCATAATTCAGAATTCAATAAATATAACTTTAGTGTCACTTTCACCTATTGTAATACACAACATGGACAAGAGCCTAAAAACATATTAAGATATCATTCGATTATACAATTATTATGATTTAACCAAAGTTGATTGAAATCTTACAGGAACCCCTGAACCATAGCAAAGTAAACCCAATTTATGATTAACAATTTAGCATTACAATTATGACAATATGATCAGCAATTAATTAAACATTAAACTATATATATACTATCAATATATGAACAAACACACTCACAGAATACAATTATCCAATGTTAAAATGTTAACTACTAATTAAGCATTTATTAAGTAACCAGCTCAGGCTATTCCAGTGTATTTCATAATTCAGGATTCAATAAGCGTAATTTCAGTCTCAGTTTCATCTAATTGTAATACACAACATGGGCAAGGGTCTGGAAGTATATCAAGCTATCATTCAATTATACAATCATTATTATGATTTAATCAAAGTTGATTAAAATCTTACAGGAACCCCTGAACCATAGCAAAGTAAATCCAATGTATGATTAACAAGTGAGCATTACAATTAGGACAATGTGATTAGCAATTAATTAAACATTAAGCTATCAATATATGAACAGACACACTCACAGAATACAAATATCCAATGTAAAAGTGTAAACTACTAATTAAACATATATTAAGCAACCAGTACAGGCTATTCCAGTGTAATTCATAATTCAGGATTCAATCAATGTAATTTTAGTTTCAGCTTCACCCAGGTTAGGTAGGGAACTAGGATAATAAACTACAGTTTACAAATTTAAGCATCTAAAAAGGCCATAAGCCATGAGTCACAAACCTTGTAGCACTGTTCGGTCCGATCGCCCCAACACCAATAGTAAGGTGAATGGGGCCCTGGGGCGATCGGCCTGATAACAGAGCCGGACTAATGTCTGGGTAATCCCAGCGTAGCAAACAACTAACCAATGATCCCTTATTCTCTCCCCCCCTCACAGCTGCCCAGCCGCGGTGTTGGGGGACGGATCCGGAGTCGGACGCGCCGAGCGACTCCACCCATTCATCTGTCCATCTGTTCGTCTCTCTGGCACGGGCGCGCCTCCCTGACGTGCGAGCGGGTGCCCCGAATTCTCTTTCAGTCAGGTACCGCAGTGGGATTGAATAACCATCTGACTCTCCGGAGCTGCCGAAGCCCAGCGGGGCCGCCTGTGGCCCTGCACCTCATGAAAATTTTTAAATTTTAAACAATTCCAGCTCATCATCATCGGAACGGGGACCGCGGGCCGGCACAGCAGTCGCACAGAGCAATACGGCAGCTCGCCACCTGTCCTTCTTTCTTTCCCTTTTTAGGGGTCCTCCAGGACAGGGGCAGCTTAAGACGACTCTCGCATTTCCAGTAGCACCAACCTTAACACCAGGCACATTCGAGAGTCGCACCACACAGGGTGCCTCACCCGCCCCGGCGCCTCGCGATCATGACCCTCGTCATGGCCCTCGTCATCGGGGGAAGTGGTCGCGGTGCGGCGGGGCGGTTTCAACTCACTTCACCCTGGCACCCTCTGATCATTTTCACTTTCTATCACAACCACACGCATCCATCAACAAACTCGCTTATCATTCATTCCTATCCGGGAACAGGGGTTCTCTACTCACCTCACAATCACCATTCTTACTTCACCATTCTTCGACCCCTATTCTCACTTTCTCATCACCCTCTATCCCCTTTTCCTTCTCTCTACCCCTATGGAGGGGGCTCGTGGACCAACAAGAAGCTCCCGGGCGAAGCCCACCCCCTCCGCTCATCCCCACCCGTCATCAGCGCCTCTTCTACTTAATAGAAGTTGGTACAATCCCCCCTCATCAGGGGGATTTAAAGCAGACTCATCAAGTTTCCAAAATAAATCCAATTGAAATTTCGTAAAAAAAAAAAAAAAACTTCAATCATTAATATCTCTACAACTTTGCATTTCCGTAGGGGTGTTCTGTTGGAATGGAACCCCCTCCGCCTCGCACCCCCACCCCAAAATACTAAATTCGTGGGGGGATATTGTACAGTTTTACATACATATTTCCACTGGTTTGATATTTCCTATGATGGCGGTTTGCGAACACAGTATATTGAATGTTCAGCAGCTGAATTATTATTCCATAGAAAAAACAACAATTCCGTAAAGAAAACAATTATACATGATTTGTATAATAATTATTATTGAGCTGACAAAAAGTGTGCAGCAAAAAAAGCCGCTCTACGTTCTGCTGCTCGGCAAAAGACTGATGGAGGTGTAGAAAATGTGGTTGAGCTCACTAAAGTGGAGGAGCGCATTATATCTTTAATGGGTCGAGAAAGCTTTGCTGTTGACGATAGGCATTTAGCTTTAAATCCATTCAGTGTAAGTAAGTTAATTGATTGTGTTATCTACGTTTTAATAAAAAAAACTATGTGATAAACTGTGACAATGCTGCCAATATCATAGTAAGTCTGTTGAGAACAGAATTTTATATTACAGGAACCTCATCATAATATAGAGGAACCACAGCAAACCATAGAAGAATCACTTACCTTACGTATGTGGAGGCGATAAAACAAGAACGTGGCCACGATGCACCAGATAAGGTAATTGTATTTTTAATAACATCATATAATGTTACGTGAAGTTCCCTTGTTGTAACTTTGGATATGCAACAACAAAATGCCTGCCCAACACTATCAAAACTCTTACCAGTATATAGGGGAAATGCAATTGAAAATATGGTATGCATTTAATTTCAACTTTTATTTAATGTCATCCTTTGTGGCAAACTTTCTTTTTTAAAACAACCACTGTCCCATTTTGTATACCAGAGGTATCGCATCTTATGCCAAAATTTACAGATTTCTAATATCACGCCAATACCCTGGTGGGATAAGCAGAGATAAGATGACAATTCTAATGTTTATGACTGTGAAGAAATAAAAAGAAATTAAGTACAAAGCATATTGAAAATGGTTTAGCCCTTAAATGCATATTGTTGCCAAACGTCTACAAAACAGTAGACAGCTCACAGATTCAAAATAAAAAGCCTTAAGTTCCTGAATGCACCTTTATACTAAACGCCAAGCAGTAGTCTTTGGAAATAACAACTGGCAACACTAAAATCGGCGTCACTTTTTAAAATTTTGACATTTGAGTCGGCGGCAGTTCAAGTTTTGCAAAAGTAAGCGAAGTAGTTTATTATTTTTTGATTTTACGTTAGCATAAGTGTTATTTCTTCAGTGAAAAAACGTTATCATCTGCGGAGAAAAGTAAGTAAACTATTTTATGTACAAAAAGTAAATATTGCAGAATATTCACGATAATTTTAGTAAAAAAAGGGTATGTAGACATTTGGCTACATTATGCGTTAACTGACTTAGGAAAGATTTTCGATTAGTTGCCATTTGTCTACAGTATGCGTTAACCGAATATGAACAGATTTTGGATTCTAACGAAAGTTATGTACATTGTGATGACTTTTTTGTCCGTTTTTTTATAGAATGACCCGCAGATTGCGAGATAAAGACATTGAGGAACTTCTCAGAAGTCTTGAGAATGGAGATATCTCGGAAGATGATGCCGAAATGGACGAAAATGAACTCGATCATTATACAGATGTTCGCGATTTGATAAGGGACTTAGATGATGAACCTGAGGAAGATCTAAACAATGACACTGTTGACATTACTCTTGTTTTGGAAGAAGAAGAGCTTCCGGCTAATAATTCATCGTCCACACTTTCGTTGCCAGATTCATCTTCTGGAACAACCGCCGGGATTCTAGGGGCTGCAGCTTGGAAGGCGAGAAGTCGTAGAGTGATTAGGAAAAAACGTACTTTACCTTACAATGAGGACCAGGTCTTGTTTAGAGGAAACTCTGAATTACCTACAAAGTTTTTGCAACTGGAGACACCGTACCATTTTTTTTCTGAATTTATAGACGATACAATTCTGACCAAAATAATTGGAGAGACTAACTTATACATCAACCAAAAGGGAGTTTCTAACTGTCCTCCAACTACAAACGCTGAAATCCGTCAGTTTTTAGGCATAATTATATTTATGTCTGTTTTCCATTATCCAAGTGTTCGATCTTATTGGTCTACATACGGTTTCAAGAATATTTTGGAAACCATGCCATTGAACAGATTTGAAAAACTTCGATCTGTACTGCATTTCAACGACAACTTCCTCCACAAGCCAGTTGGCGACCCGGGCCACGACAGACTTCATAAAATCAGGCCTATAGTAGATCACTTCAACGGCCAGTTCAAAAAAGTTCCATTTGAACAAAGGCTGTCGTTAGACGAACAAATGTGTGCGAGCAAAATTGGGCATTTTATGAAGCAATACCTACCTAACAAACCTCATAAATGGGGCTTCAAATTGTATGTCATTTGCTCTCTGGCTGGATATGCCTATAATTTTGAGATTTATTCTGGCCAGGAAACAGCCATCGCTCCAGGAGAGCCAGACCTTGGTGCCGTAGGAAACGTCGTAGTTCGCTTGTGCCGTCCAGTATCGAGAAATGTGAACCATATAATTTATTTTGACAATTTCTACACTTCAATCCCATTACTACACTATTTGAAGAATGAAGGTATTCTTTCGGTAGGCACTGTACAAAGAAATCGCCTTGGTCAGAATTGCAAACTACCTTCAAAAGCGGAAATAATGAAAGTATCGGTCCCTCGTGGAAAATATGAAGAACAAGTTGTCGATTATGAAGGTGTCGAAATATCTGCCATTGTTTGGAAAGATAATAAGCCGGTTACATTGGCATCAACATATGTTGGAGCTGAACCAGTCGAAACAATAACTAGGTACGATAAAAAACAGAAAAAACAAACAGCAGTACAGTGCCCACAAATCGTAAAACATTACAACGCTCATATGGGCGGCGTGGATTTGATGGACAGCTTTTTGGGGCGTTACAAAATTCGCATTAAAAGCCGAAAATGGTACATGCGACTGTTTTATCACCTGATTGATTTAGCTGTCATAAACTCATGGGTAGTATACAAAAAAGTCAATGAAAAGAGAGGAAATTCCAAAACAATTACTTTGGCAGATTATAGGTCTGAATTGGCTGAAACTTTGTGTCGCTTACAGGATAAATGGAGAAAGTAAAAGAGGAAGACCCTCCAGTTCCAATATTGAAAGAGAGCTGGAAGCAAAAAAACGACGCGGTCCAATGAAATTTGTACCCCCAAAAGACGTAAGAACTGATGGTGTCGGCCACCACGAGAAACGTTGTGAGAATAAAAATAGGTGCAAATTGCCAGGATGCAAAGGCTTCTCCCGCACCGAGTGCACTAAATGCAAAGTCGCTCTATGCCACACAAAAGACAGAAATTGTTTCGCAACATTTCATCAGTAATTACCTAGTTATTATTTTCTTATTTATTTATTAGTTTGTGTTTCAGTCAACATGCAATAGTCAATTTTGAACTAAATGCATAATGTTGCCATACGGCTACTATGTATATTTTTGTATATAAACCAGTAAAAATAAAAGCTGGATTTTTTTTATTTATTTTTCCTAGATCATACATCCAAACAACTAAATAAAAACATTTTTTCCGACGAAAAATAAAAAATTGTGCATTTAAGGGTTAGCTTTAGAATACAATGGCTGTCCCAATTTGCATCCCAGGAACATCATACCAAACGGCTAGACAGAGCTATGTACCGAATGTAAATAACCCAATTTTATCATAATTCCATGGACAATTACATTAGAAGGTTAGTTTTGTGCTTAATACTTCTCAAACTCCCGATATTTCAGTGCTGATGCAAGCGCCATGATCCCGAGTAACCAAAGTTTTTGCAGTTGGATGGGCAATTGTAACAGCGCCGAAAACATGTCAGCGAGACGTTGCGGCTTACGCCAGTCACTCCTACTGAGAAGATCCCCATCATCTACGGCCCCCTGAACAGGGTGATATGAAGATGAACAACCTAAAAAAAAATGGAATGGAGTGAGAGCTTGGATCAGTTGGGACATCGGTAAGAGGGCGGCTGTTCACTAAGGCTTCGACTTCCAACAGCGCAGTGTGGAGGAGCTCTTCTTTAGGGCTCGATCTTGTAACATGGCACGCACAGCCACCTTGACAGAGCGCACAAGCCTCTCCCAAACTCCCGACATGTGAGGCGCAGCGGGTGGTTGAAACGACCAAGAAATGCCACTGTTGGATCCAGCTTCTGCCATGACCTTCAAAATGTTGTTTGCTCCGACGAAGGCAGTTCCGTTGTCGGAAAATCGCGAAAGTACAACACTAGAAGTACTGCAAAATATATCGGAGGGCCAATGGGATTGTGAACCAACTGAAGAAGAGAGACACATTCTGCATCAAGATTCAGATAGTGAAGAAAATAATGACAATGTTGTTAGACAATAAAGTGATTCATCATTGGATGATGACACTGATAGTGTTTCTGATGGCAGGTATACACTATTTGAATTAATTATTGGTGTAATGGTGATGAAACTTGAAATGGCTGGTCGCACCATGAATTGGTCGATTCTAATATTTGGCCACGACATCGGTTCCCTTTTCATATAATAAATAAATCTTACATAAATAATGTGCATACTTTAAATTGACAGAAATGCAAAAATATTTTTTTATGTAGGTAGATTTTTTAAGCAATAGACACTTGTATAGGTTTATTATAACATATGGGTTAGGTAAAGTTAGTGTATGATAAACAACGCACGAGCTGAGCGAGCAAAGTGAGCGTAACGCAGCAGCGGCCGGCGAAGTGCCAGATACAAATAGCTTTTGTTTAAGATAACATTTGCTTTATATACCTATATGTTCTTATTAATTAACATAGACTAAAGCCAGACTAACTTTACGTCAAGTATTAAGTCAGTAGTTACCAATCGTAGTATTAATAAAGTAACAAGATTAAGGAATGAATAAACTAATCAGAATCTACTCGCGGAGTAAAAGTTACACCATGGTGCTAGCTAGTTTAGCCAGCGATTAATCAGGGCATAGTGTACAGAGTATAATTTTAACATTTGTTGTAATTTTAATTGCGCGGGGTTTATAACTGCTTATATTTTTTGGTATACAAAGAGATAATTATATCGATGTTATAGAAGAAATAGATGATTTGGAGGAAATAAGTAATGTTTCGTCTGCTAGACAATGCTCCTATTAAGGGCTAGCGCATACATACAACTTTTAGTTGAACAACTGTTTAATTGTGAATGATATGTTTAAAAGAATATATTAAAAACTAAAAAGCGCGCATACTGTCAACTCGATAGTTGGTCGACAAAACAATCAAAAAACTTTATCGATTTGCTTTTGATTTGAAAGTTGTACAACTATCGATCAAGCGCTCAATTTGTATTGCATTGTATTGA